AGCCTTATTGATCGGATTGTCATAATTCATTTTATTTTATTTAGCAACAATAAGAATTCTCTTTCACACGAGTGCTACATATTCAACAGAAAATCTAAAATGCTATTGACCTGCCAGAAAGTCCCATTGCCTCGGTACAGTTTGTAGACCATAGTGATGGGATGAGAGAGAGGGAAGACATAGCCAGGAACCAGCCCAGCCCGTAGGCCCACCACGGGTACACATAGGTGTTGTTGAACTTCAGAGGGTTGTACTTCAGCAGCGAGAACACAAAGGTTCCCTGGAAGAGAAAATAGATGTCCAAAATATGTTTTTTCGTTCTTAACTCGTCTTATTTATATTAACAGCATATGGTATTGTAAGCAACTGCACTTGTGAAATGATATCCATAAATGTAAGTAAAATAATGATTAAAAAATGGACTTACTGTGCACATTGTGGGGGTGATGTATAGCCAACAGTACTTCACCAGAGATGAGGGCCTGTAGCCAATCATATCCTCAATGTTGTCACAGAAACATTCACCACCTTGGACAGAGACAGATAGGGGTACTCATGGACAGTTTACTTGTTTTTAAAGGGATAGTTAAAGGAACTATAACTATGAATTATAACAAAATACTTTCAATAATTTTAATGAGAATAAATCTGGTGATGAAGCTAGTTTTCCATATTGGTCTGTTTATGCTTACATAGTGTCATTAACGTGAGCTGCTGTAGATGTGTAGATAATCCTTGCTACCACAGATTTGTTGAAAGATATAATGTTAGCCATGGAGAACAGCAAAAGCATTGATACTGCTCTCAACAACATTGCTGCCCTGAATTTAGAAGGCGCTATCGACAAAGATCAAAAGTTGATGGAGTACATTTTTATTTGTATCTCAGAAAGGCATTTGTATTGCCAGTTACAGCCTAATGTTAGCTAGCTAGAGTGCCTTGCAAAAGTATTCAGCCCCCTTGGCGTTTTTCCTATTTTGTTGCATTACAACCTGTAATTTAAATTGAGTTTTATTTGGATTTAATTTAATGGACATACACAAAATAGTCCAAATTGGTGAAGTGAAATAAAAAAAATAACTTGTTTCCAAAAATGCAAAACAATAAATAACGGAAAAGTGGTGCGTGCATATGTATTCAACCCCTTTGCTATGAAGCCCCTAAATAAGATCTGGTGTAAACAATTACCTTCAGAAGTCACATAATTAGTTAAATAAAGTCCACCTGTGTGCAATCTAAGTGTCACATGATCTGTCACATGATCTGTCACATGATCTCAGTATATATATACACCTGTTCTGAAAGGCCCCAGAGTTTGCAACACCACTAAGCAAGGGGGACCACACAGCAAGCGGCACCATGAAGACCAAGGAGCTCTCCAAACAGGTCAGGGACAAAGTTGTGGAGATGTACAGATCAGGGTTGGGTTATAAAAAAATATCAGAAACATTGAACATCCCACGGAGCACCGTTAAATCCATTATTAAAAAATGGAAAGAATATGGCACCACAACAAGTGAGGGCCGCCCACCAAAACTGATGGACCAGGCAAGGAGGGCATTAATCAGAGAGGCAACAAAGAGACCAAAGATAACCCTGAAGGAGCTGCAAAGCTCCACAGCAGAGATTGGAGTATCTGTCCATAGGACCACTTTAAGCCGTACACTCCACAGAGCTGGGCTTTACGGAAGAGTGGCCAGAAAAAAGCCATTGCTTAAAGAAAACAATAAGCAAACATGTTTGGCTTTCGCCAAAAGCAATATGGGAGACTCCCCAAACATATGGAAGAATGTACTCTGGTCAGATGAGACTAAAATTGAGCTTTTTGGCCATCAAGGAAAACGATATGTCTGGCGCTAACCCAACACCTCTCATCATCCCGAGAACACCATCCCCACAGTGAAGCATGGTGGTGGCAGCATCATGCTGTGGGGATGTTTTTCATCGGCAGGGACTGGGAAACTGGTCAGAATAGAAGCAATGATGGATGGCGCTAAATACAGGGAAATCCTTGACGGAAACCTGTTTCAGTCTTCCAGAGATTTGAGACTGGGACGGAGGTTCACCTTCCAGCAGGACAATGACCCTAAGCATACTGCTAAAGCAACACTCGAGTGGTTTAAGGGGAAACATTTAAATGTCTTGGAATGGCCTAGTCAAAGCCCAGACCTCAATCCAATTGAGAATCTGTGGTATGACTTAAAGATTGCTGTACACCAGCGGAACCCATCCAACTTGAAGGAGCTGGAGCAGTTTTGCCTTGAAGAATGGGCAAAAGTCCCAGTGGCTAGATGTGCCAAGCTTATAGAGACATACCCCAAGAGACTTGCAGCTGTAATTGCTGCAAAAGGTGGCTCTACAAAGTATTGACTTTGGGGGGGGTGAATAGTTATGCACACTCAAGTTTTCTGTTTTTTTGTCTTATTTCTTGTTTGTTTCACAATAAAAAATATTTTGCATCTTCGAAGTGGTAGGCATGTTGTGTAAATCAAATGATACACCTCCAAAAAATCCATTTTAATTCCAGGTTGTAAGGCAACAAAATAGGAAAAATGCCAAGGGGGGTGAATACTTTCGCAAGCCACGGTAGCTAACATCGAACCTAGTTGGTTAGCTTTAGCTACCTGCAGGTTCATACTAGCTACAGCATTTCATGCATGGTGGCTACCTATGACAATCTGTTTGTATCTATAGGTTGAGATTATGGTTAATTGTCTAAACAAAAGACTCCTCTTCACCAGATGATTACATGACCAATCAAGTTAGCCAAGTGTGTCTGGGGGTGATTATGCCCATCTATTTTATTTCATTAACATGTGTCCTGTAACACATCTAACATTATGACGCAGCGCTACAGTCCTGTAACACATCTAACATTATGACGCAGCGCTACAGTCCTGTAAAACGTCTAACATTATGACGCAGCGCTACAGTACTGTAACATGTCTTACATTATGACACAGCGCTACAGTCCTGTAACACGTCTAACATTATGACGCAGCGCTACAGTCCTGTAACACATCTAACATTATGACACAGCGCTACAGTCCTGTAACACGTCTAACATTATGACGCAGCGCTACAGTCCTGTAACACATCTAACATTATGACGCAGCGCTACAGTCCTGTAACACGTCTAACATTATGACGCAGCGCTACAGTCCTGTAACACATCTAACATTATGACGCAGCGCTACAGTCCTGTAACACCTCTAACATTATGACGCAGCGCTACAGTCCTGTAACACGTCTAACATTATGACGCAGCGCTACAGTCCTGTAACACGTCTAACATTATGACGCAGCGCTACAGTCCTGTAACACGTCTAACATCATGACGCAGCGCTACAGTCCTGTAACACATCTAACATTATGACGCAGGGCTACAGTCCTGTAACACGTCTAACATTATGACGCAGCGCTACAGTCCTGTAAAACGTCTAACATTATGACGCAGCGTTACAGTCCTGTAACACATCTAACATTATGACGCAGCGCTACAGTCCTGTAACACGTCTAACATTATGACGCAGCGCTACAGTCCTGTAACACGTCTAACATTATGACGCAGCGCTACAGTCCTGTAACACGTCTAACATTATGACGCAGCGCTACAGTCCTGTAACACGTCTAACATCATGACGCAGCGCTACAGTCCTGTAACACGTCTAACATTATGACGCAGCGCTACAGTCCTGTAACACATCTAACATTATGACGCAGCGCTACAGTCCTGTAACACGTCTAAAAAATACATAAAAAGTGTCCCATCCACTTAGCCAGATGTGGCTGGAGGGTGGTTATAACATTTCCTTTTCATGACCCATCAATTTAGACAATTGTATCTGGGTATGCATCATCTAATAATTATAAAATATTTTCTATTTTTGATATTGCTATGGCTAATATTCAAGTAACTATTTCACTGTGCCATTTACACCTTCTGTATCCTGTGCATGTGACAAATAAACGTATTTGATATAGTGTGTGTTTACCAGAGACGGTAATGTGAAGAACAACATGACCTGCACCGAAGTCAGATTAGGATATAGGCCAAAGACTAGATAAAGTGTATTTTACTAAGAGTTTTTCTTTATTGTCGGCTACTGCTTTCACCACTTTTAGTCTTGAAATCTTTGGTTGTTTACTCACTCTGTTTAGCACATAGCCTCACATGTGAATCCTTAAAGAGATGGGTGGGGCTAAGATTTAAGAGGGTGTGAACGATGCTGAATAGGTGTAGACAAAGAAGAGCTCTCCAGTAGGTGTACCAAAACATTCAACAGCCATGGCCAGTATGAAAATGTATGCCCTCACTAACTGTAAGTCGCTCTGGATAAGAGCGTCTGCTAAATGACATAAATGTAATGTAATGTAACATTTTCTCAAAAGTGGGGTTACAGGTTTATCACCTTTCAAAGCAGAATTATTTTCCCATTGTTCCTCAACTGCAGTGTATGATATACCATTTTGTAGCTATGAGTCTCTACTTTTATCCAATGTAAAAAACACAATTTCAAATGTTGCTACATAAAAACAAATCGAGGCCGTCGGTCATATATGAACACTTGAGTTAAAGGTTTAACGCTATGGGGCATATTTATCAAATCTGTTTTGCATAGGCTTATTTAGTAGGCCTGTTTACTTTTTAAATTAGAATACATTTGAATAAACTTTTAATTTAATCTGAACACATTTTAAAGAGGTCTGATAACAAGGTGAAAACATTGATGTGGAGTGTATGAGACAGGGGAATGGCAGTGAAAGGTAGAAGACAGCCTGCAGCGGACTGCGGCCATACTATTCTCACTGTCTTGTCTTCTTCAGTATTGCTCATGATCTCCCCACATTGAACAACCATACCTGCAAGCGTTTTGAATTTTCTGTGTTTGAATTGCAGTGATGGATGTTATTTATTAGCAGCACTATGTGCTTCTTAACATAACTAAACTACAGAGGTAGTAGCTCCTGCCAGGATTATTGTAACCCAGCAGCCTCCACTATACTGTGATCCAGGTGTTGTGGCAGTTGGCCCATGGCAGGCCAACAGTGAAGGATGAGAACAAGTAGAGGAAAGCCCAGGCCAGGATCACAATGTAGGTGGTACATCCATATATAATGATCACCTGGGTTGCGTAGCCCGTTCCTGATGAAGATAAGAAGAGAAACATAGCTACATGCACATAAAACCTAACATGACATAATTTTAAAAAATGAATGGGGCCCTATGTAACTACACAGAAATGTTAATGAATTAAGAGCACTCACGCATTGTTTGTTTCACAGGATTCATATAGAAATGAATAGATGTGTCTCAGCACTGATAAGGAACACACACCCTTAGGTCTTATAAGGTGAGGAGCTGACTAATGGAAAAGTCTAAACTTTGAAGAAGAACTGAAAGTCTCACTCTAGTCTTCATTGCAGAGTGATTTATTTTCCTTCACCAACATTTCAACTATACATTCTGATGAAGCTAGCATAATCCTTAGCAAGACCATGCTACCCAACATCTACATGAAAACATTTGACAGATAAGACATGTGGGAAGTGGATAATAAAGGTTCATTCTGCGAGAGTTTGTCACAATAACAATGTACCTGTGCTGCAGAAAAGGCATTTGAAAAGTAACTTTTTAGTGCACAGAACTCACTGCAGAGATCCTATTAAATTACTATAGTAATTTAATGATCCTCACCATCAAACAGCGGGCAGATCTTCCTCCAGCAGGTGATGCCCCCCTGGCTGGTGAACTGACCCAGAGCCATCTCCAGGATGAACAGAGGGATGCCACAGGTCACCAGGTACAGGATGTGTGGAATGAAGAAGGCACATGCAGAACAGGCAGGAGTCACACATATTAGGCCTCTGTTCACTTTAACCATTAGTTGACAGCACATAAATAAAAGGGTTAGGTTTTTGGTTAGAGTGCACCTACTGTACATGCAGGCAGGGCCGTAGCTACCATTGAGGACACGGAGGTCATGACCGAAGGTTTTACATATACAGTGCTATGAAAAAGTATTTGCCCCCTTTCTAATTGTCTCTACTTTTGCATATTTGTGATACTGAATGTTATCAGATTGTCACGTTCGTTTAAGGACGGGTCAGACCAAGGCGCAGCGTGAAATGCGTACATGTTTATTTAACCGATAAACATACAACAAAACAACAAACCAAACCAAACGTGAAGTCCTAAGGCTGAACACAAAACAAGCCTACACACGGAACAAGTTCCCACAACTAATGTATGCCAACAGGCTGCCTAAGTATGATCCCCAATCAGAGACAACGAGCGACAGCTGTCTCTGATTGGGAATCACACCCGGCCAAACATAGACATACAACACCTAGAATATAAACATAGAAAACACAACATAGAACACCACACCCTGACTCAACATACCAGAGTCCCATAAGTCAGGGTGTGACAGTACCCCCCCCCCCCCCCCAAAGGTGCGGACTCCGACCGCACAACCTTTACATAACAGGGTAGGGACCGGGCGTGACGACCACATACTCGCCGCCTCCCTTTTGCGCCCCTGGTCTGGTCTGGACCTCGGCGCGCTGCTTCCCCTCTCCTTCCTCCCACGATATTCCAAGCCCTGTCTGGACCCTGGTGTGGGAGACCCCGAACCTGGAGAGGGGCTGACGTCTGGGTCTGGACTGGAGCCGCTGACCGGAGCTGGACTGGGCACCGGTGGAGCGGACTGCTCTGGCTCCGGAGTGGAGCCGCTGACCGGAGCTGGACTATGCACCGGTGGAGCGGACTGCTCTGGCTCCGGAGTTGAGCAGCTGACCGGAGCTGGACTGGACCCCGGCGGAACCGACTGCTCTGGCTCCGGAGTGGAGCAGCTGACCGGAGCTGGATCAGGCACCGGTGGAGCGGACTGCTCTGGCTCCGGAGTGGAGCAGCTGACCGGTGCCGGACCAGGCACCGGTGGAACGGGCACGGGCCGTGCCGGACTGGACACACGCACCACTGGTCTGGTGCGAGGAGCAGACACGGGCCGGACCGGACTAGGAACACGCACCACTGTCTTGGTGCGAGAAGCAGGAACGGGCCAGGCCGGACTGGCGACACGCACCACTGGCTTGGTGCGAGGAGCAGGAACAGGCCGGGCCGGACTGGCGACACGCACCACTGGCTTGGTGCGAGGAGCAGGAACGGGCCGGGCCGGACTGGGAACACGCACCACTGGCTTGGTGCGAGGAGCAGGAACGGGCCGGACTGGCGACACGCACCACTGGCTTGGTGCGAGGAGCAGGAACAGGCCGGGCCGGACTGGCGACACGCACCACTGGCTTGGTGTGAGGAGCAGGAACGGGCCGGGCCGGACTGGGAACACGCACCACTGGCTTGGTGCGAGGAGCAGGAACAGGCCGGACTGGCGACACGCACCACTGGCTTGGTGCAAGGAGCAGGAACAGGTCGGGCCGAACTGGGAACACACACCACTGGCTTGGTGCGAGGAGCAGGAACAGGCCGGGCCGGACTGGCGACACGCACCACTGGCTTTGTGCGAGGAACAGGAACAGGCCGGGCCGGACTGGGAACACGCACCACTGGCTTGGTGCCAGGAGCACGAACAGGCCGGGCCGGACTGGGAACACGCACCACTGGCTAAGTGCGAGGAGCAGGAACGGGCCGGGCCGGACTGGCGACACGCACCACTGGCTTGGTGCGAGGAACAGGAACGGGCCGGGCCGGACTGGGAACAGGCACCACTGGCTTGGTGCGAGGAGGAGGAACGGGCCGGGCTGGACTGGGAACACGCACCACTGGCTTGGTGCGAGGAGCAGGAACGGGCCGGACCAGACTGGGAAGGTGCACTGGTGACCAGGGCGTATCTCCGTATACCTGGGTTCCTTTATTAACCCCCACTTCTTATGCTGCCTAACCAACTCCTCTCTCCATGCCTCTACTTCCTCCTTTTCCCTACGAGCCTCCTGCAGTGCCTCCTCTTGAATGGATCTCTCCCGCTCTATTCTAACTATCAGCCCCCGTAATATGGTGGCTCCTACTGTTACCCTGCAGATCTGATCCTTCTCTCTCTCTCGGCACTCCTCCGGGAGCCCCCACGAGTTAGGGAACAGAAACTCATCGTCGCCGTCATCCTCCGACTCCTCAGTATAATACTGTTCCCACTCTTCTTCCCATGGTCGTAGGGACTCAATCTGGAAACCCACCGGGTGCAGTGGTCGGGGCTCTTCTCTCTCGCTCCCCGACCACCCCTTTAGCCCCCCCAAAATGTTTTATTGGGGCTGCTTCTCGGGCTTCCTCCTCTGCCAGCTTCTGTGTTGCTGTTGCTCCTCTCCTGCCTGGGCTTCCTTCTTCGCCCAGGGTCCTTTTCCCACAAATATCTCCTCCCAAGACCAAATCTTCCCCACCTTTGTCCAGGGTGTTCGGTCCTCCTGGGCACGCTGCTTGGTCCGTGTTTGGTGGAATCTTCTGTCACGTTCGTTTAAGGACGGGTCAGACCAAGGCGCAGCGTGATATGATCATTGTCTTGTTGTATGACCCAGCTGTGCTTCAGCTTCAGCTCACAGACGGATGGTCTGACATTCTCCTGTAGAATTCTCTGATACAGAGCATAATTCATGGTTCCTTCTATTAAGGCAAATCGTCCAGGTCCTGAAGCAGCAAAGCATCCCCAAACCATCACACCACCACCACCATGCTTGACCTTTGGTATGATGTTCTTACTGTGGAATGCAGTGTTTGGTTTTCGCCAGGCATAATGGGACACATCTCATCCAAAAAGTTGACTCAAGTTTGCCAAAAAGCACCTGGATGATCATCAAGACTCTTGGAAGAACGTTCTATGGACAGATTATTCAAAAGTATAACTTTTTGGACGACATGGTTCCAGTAATGCCTGGCGAAAACCAAACTCTGCATTCCACAGTAAGAACATCATACCAAAGGTCAAGCATGGTGGTGGTGGTGTGATGGTTTGGGGATGCTTTGCTGCCTCAGGACCTGGACGACTTGCCTTAATAGAAGGAACCATGAATTATGCTCTGTATCAGAGAATTCTACAGGAGAATATCAGACCATCCGTCTGTGAGCTGAAGCTGAAGTGCAGCTGGGTCATGCAGCAAGACAATGATCCAAAACACACAATCAAGTCTACATGAAAATAGCTAAAAAGCAACAAATTTGAAGTTTTGGAATGACCTAGTCAAAGTCCAGACCTAATCCCAATTGAGATGTTGTAGCAGGACTTGAAACGAGCAGTTCATGCATGAAAACCCACACGCCACTGAGTTAAAGTAGTTCTGCATGGAAGAGTGGGCCAAAATTCAACAACTACAGGAAGCATTTGGTTGGAGTCATTGCAGATAAAGGTGGCACAACCAGTTATAGAGTGTAAGGGGGCAATTACTTTTTCACACAGGGGAATTGGGTGTTGCATAACTTTGTTTATGAAATAAATATGTAATTGTTGTGTTATTTGTTCACTTATGTTCCCCTTATCTAATATTAGGTTTGGTTGAAGATCTGATAACATTCAGTATCACAAATATGCAAAAGTAGAGAAAATTAGAAAGGGGGCAAATACTTTTTCATAGCACTGTATATAATTTTTAAATAGAATTAGAAACAATAAAGAAAATCAATTACGGGTTTGGTTTTTTAAGAGACATGTTCTTTGAGTCGACCCATTGAGTTCAAAATTAGCTTTGATTAACCTTCATATCTTATGATAGGATATGATCCAATTTTGAGCTTGATTTAGTAATTATATTCCCATTGTGTATACCAGATGACTCCTCAGCCAGGCTTTCCATCCATCAGTAACGAAAGGCTCACGCCACTGATACACTCAACTATCTCTGTCTGAAACCAAACCAGTATATTTATTAGTTGTAAATACACACCGAAAAACGACATTTTCAAAGGAACCAGCACAATGACCATGTGGTCATCTGACGTCACACAGTTTTCAGGGGATCCAACTAAACTCTCAGAAAACAAAGGTACCAAATTGTACTTAAAGTGGTACAAACACTTGTCACTGTAGTGGTACCCTGTAAGGTAGGTCCATTGTACCATAAGTTATAGGTACATAATTGTACCCTTGCAGTTTGTACTTTAAAAGAGCCTAAATGTACAAATTTGCCTTTTTAGGGTACCACCACAGTGACAAAGCCGTTAGTACCTTTTAAGTGGCAAAAATGTACCTCTTCTCTATACCATGTCCCTCACGTGTACACGCCTCTCTGCCATCCCACTTCTGACACCAATGTAGCAAATTTGGGGGGTAACCCAGACTGGGACTCGAACGTGGGTCCAGCAACACCGTAACAATTACGCCAAGAGGTCTGTACCTCTTGTAAGGTCGCTCAGTGTTCGGTTAAGGTCGCTACAATATTAATGACATGCTTTTATGTAAGCCTTTATAAAGACTTCAGAACTGGCAGTGGACATGCTCAAGCTTTAATTAACATAACCATAGACCACTGAAACCCAGGATAGTCGATGTCCACACCCACATGGACATTTAATTAGCATAATAAAAAAAATCCCTATCAAGTTAAAGATATCTGTTTTTTTGCATGGGCTGCGTTTCAATCCACCACATCCGCCGATGTCGGCCTTCCACATCTGCAGTGGAAGTTGGCAGAGCTACAGCTGTGTTTGTCAAACCAGGAGACAACAAACTAATATGACCCCACTATGGAAAGATGAGACTGCCATGATGGTGTTCTCCATCTTGCTGTACGACCCCCATCATTTGAAGTCGGTACCACCGATGTGCCAACTTCTGTCTGTAGAATCCAAACAATTTGGGCTACAAACTAATAAAAAAAAGCAGAGACTCTCACGAACACGTACATGTCAGTTGTTTTGCTCTACGACGCCCACAAACCTCATAAGATTAGTCTGAAGGTAACCCGGCACCAGGCCAAAAAAAGAATGAAAGTGAATAGGGCATTTCCACGTCAAAAGGTATACGGATCATTCCATGGTAAACAAATAATCATCTTTACCCTAACCATACCCTTATTTTCTGAGAGTGTAAAGTATTTGGATACAGCTTTGTTTCTTTGTTTTCTTATCTTCTTTGTTTCTTCAAAGACCTCTAGATCAGCTAAACAACAAACCAAACCAATCCTTTTGGTTCCTCTTTTTGCCTGACCTCACTTTTGACCAGGGGTAAAATCATCCATTAATTAATAAACAAGAGAGAGAGAACTGGGATAAAAGTGTGACATGCATCACCTAACTGCCACCGCCCCCGTCCTCCCGAGGCACACCAACCTTTGGTTGAATGGTTCATTTTACCCTGTAGGCACCTGCAACTTACCACAGGTGAGCTAAATAACAAAGTAAACGAGAATCTCCTGCCTCCAACCGAATATATGTGAATTTGGAATAATGTAGTTCAGGCCATTTCCTGACTTTGAAGTAAAACATCTCAATTTCAGTTTAGATCTATCTTTGTCCTTTGCAGTCGTAAATCAAACAAATACAACTTATTTTAGAAGAAATAGTGAATTGTGCAAGGGTTCCCATATATTTGAGCGCAACTGTACCTATTTCTTATTTTTACTAAACCGACCCATAAATATATTTTGGAAGTTATAAAGAACCTTTACAGGGACTGAACCGAAAAAAGAGATCAAACTCACCCAGTCTAAAGAAAATACTTTCAAAGGTTTACAAATGTATGCACATATTTGACCAACAAGCAAAAAGGAGAATGTTGATTCACCCCCACCGTTCTTGTAACAAAGATATGGAAACCTCCATATATTTCTAAAGTCCAACATTAGCACCAGCCACAGTTAGAATAAACTCAATTTTGTTATCCCACTGGCCGCGCTCCTTGACCATCTGTTGGGCATCCTGCGGTGGCCCTGGTAAAACCTAATGCCTGCCTGTAGAGAGAGGAGCTGCCATACTGCATGTGAGAGAGAGAGGGTCCGGACCAAAGAGCTGGTGGTGGAGTCTGTTGAGTTCCTGCTTGGAGATCAGTGGTTGTCTGCTGCTGCTGCTGGAGCTTTTATGAATAACATCATTGTCAAGATGGGGTGGTGGTAGCCTTGAGGTTAGAGAGGCGGGATGCCTGTGGAGCAATCAGCAGGGAGTGATCTGACAACTGGAGGGTTACCTGCTTCAATATCCCGTATTGTATAATACTGTGGTGCCCTTGAGCAAGGCACATTAGCATAAACAAAAACACAACAAAGGCTTCTCACCAGTGAAAACACTGTGAAAACAACAGGCTGGACACCAGAAGGGACCATTTCTCTAGAATTTGTTGGATGTTGGTAACACCGCTGTGGGGTAGTAAGCCTCATATTGAGAAGAGGGTGCTTACAGTAATACTGTCTATGACTTTGGTGATTGGAGTCTTTGACAATTTTTTGGGCGTTCCTCTGACACCGCCTAGTGTATAGGTCCTGGATGGCAGGAAGCTTGGCCCCAGTGATGTACTGGGCCGTACGCATTACCCTCTGCCGAGCAGTTGTCATATCAGGTGGTGATGCAACCGGTCAGGATGCTCTCGATGGTGCAACTGTATAACTTTTTGAGGATCTGGGGACCCATGCCAAATCTTTTCAGTCTCCTGAGGGGGAAAGGTGTTGTCATGCCCTCTTCACGACTGTCTTGGTGTGTTTGGACCATGATAGTTTGTTGATGATGTGGACACCAAGAAACTTGAAACTCTCGACCCGCTCCACTCCTCCTATTCGGCCCGCCTTTCCCTGTAGTCCACGATCAGCTCCTTTGTTTGGTTCACATTGAGGGAGAGGTTGTTGTCCTGGCAGCACACTGCCAGGTCTCTGACCTCCTCCTTATAGGCTGTCTCATCGTTGTCGGTGATCAGGCCTACCACTGTTGTCTTGTCAGCAAACTTAATGATGGTGTTGGAGTCGTGTTTGGCCACACAGTCGTAGGTGAACAGGGAGTACAGGAGGGGACTAAGCACGCACCACTGAGGGGCCCCAGTGTTGAGGATCAGCGTGGCAGACGGGATTTGCCTACCCTTACCACATGGGGGCGGCCCGTCAGGAAGTCCAGGATCCAGTTGCAGAGGGAGGTGTTTAGTCCCAGAGTCCTTAGCTTTGTGATGAGCTTTGTGGGCACAATGGTGTTGAACGCTGAGCTGTAGTCAATGAACAGCATTCTCACATAAATGTTCCTTTTGTCCAGGTGGGAAAGAGCAGTGTGGAGTGTGATTGAGATTGCGTAATCTGTGGATCTGTTGGGGCGGTATGCGAATTGGAGTGGGTCTAGGTTATCCGGTATGATGCTGTTGATGTGAGCAATGACCAGCCTTTCAAAGCACTTCATGGCTACCGACGTGACTGCTACGGGGCGGTAATCATTTAGGCAGGTTACCTTCGCTTCCTTGGGCACAGGGACTATGGGGGTCTGCTTGAAACATGTAGATATTACAGACTCGGTCAGGGAGAGGTTGACAATGTCAGTGAAGACACTTGCCAGTTGGTCCGCGCATGCTTTGAGTACACGTCCTGGTAATCCGTCTGGCCCCGCGGCTTTGTGAATGTTGACCTGTTTAAAGGTCTTGCTCACATCGGCTACCGAGAGCATTATCACACAGTCGTCCAGAACAACTGGTGCTCTCATGCATGCTTCGGTGTTGCTTGCCTCGAAGAGTCCTTCTGGAAATCAGACTTTTAAAATCTAGACTAGGGCAAGTCTGAGACTATTTTAAACCATGTCTGAGAAATGCCATTTCAGTTAGTCCAGTTTAACAGTGCAATTTTGTCTAGGATTAAGCTTAATCTGTGTCTGCGAAACCACCCCTCAGTGTTGATTTAACACTCGAGAATTTGCTTTGCAAGGATGAACCACAATGTTTCATGCATGTCACCTGTCCTTTTAATGGAAAACTTCTAGGAGTGCTGGTCTTGATCAGGTCCCCACTGTCAATGTAATTTATTTATTTTGATCTAAAAGGCAAAACTGATCGTAAATCAGCACTCCTACTATGAGACACTTGATACATATGGACCCTGGTCTTTGACAGACTAAGAGCAAGTGCACGTGAAAACTCCACATGGTCCCATAAGGTTTCACAAGGATCCATTTTCACTCACAAGTGATGTTGCAACATCATTCATCCAAAATGACTCAAACACGTCTTATAAATACTTTAATATATACTATAGTAATTCCTCTCTAAGGATAAATCGTAACTCAAAACAGGAATTGAACAGACGCTTGAGGCAAATAACTAACTCTTGAAGAGACACATTACTTAATTGACATGCATTTGTTATCACCAAAGAATCTTGAGGACTTACCATAAATCGAACCAATAGCTATCAATTGGCCAATGCACACATAATGATAAAGAAGTTGGAGAAAATACAACCCTTTCTGCGACAGAGAACAGACATTAACATACAGTGTAAAACAATGAATAATACTGTACCTACAGTGCCTTCGGAAAGTTCAGACCCCTTGACTTTTTCCACATTTTGTTACGTTACAGCCTTATTCTAAAATTTATAAAATAAAACATTTTCGTTATCAATCTACACACAATACCCTATAATGACAAAGCGAAAACAGGTTTTTAGAAATGTTTGCACATTTATAAAACATTAAAAACAGAAATACCTTATTCACATATATACAAGTATTCAGACCCTTCGCTATGAGACTCGAAATTCAGCTCAGGTGCATCCTGTTTCCATTGATAAACCATGTGATGTTTCTACAACTTGATTGGAGTCCACCAGTGGTAAATTCAATTGATTGGAAATGATTTGGAAAGGCACACACCTGTCTATATAAGGTCCCACAGTTGACAGTGCATGTCAAAGCAAAAACCAAGCCATGAGGTCGAAGGAATTGTCCGTCATTCTTAAATGGAAGAAGTTTGGAAACACCAAGAATCTTCCTAGAGCTGGTGCCCGGCCAAGCTGAGCAATCGGGGGAGAAGGGCCTTGGTCAGGAAGGTGACCAAGAACCCGATGGTCACTCTGACAGAGCTCCAGAGTTCCTCTGTGGAGGTGGGAGAACCTTCCAGAAGGACAACCATGTCTGCAGCACTCTACCAATCAGGCCTTTATGGTAGGGTGGCCAGACGGAAGCCACTCCTCAGTAAAAAGCACATGACAGCCTGCTTGGAGTTTGCCAAAAGACACCTAAAGGACTCTCAGACCATGAGAAATAAGATTCTCTGGTCTGATGAAACCAAGATTGAACTCTTTGGCCTGAACGCCAAGCGTCACGTCGGGAGGAAATGTGGCACCATCCCTACGGTGAAGCATGGTGGTGGCAGCATCATGCTGTGGGGATGTTTTTCAGTGGCAGGCACTGGGAGACTAAATGTCTAAAAACCAGTTTTTGCTTTGTCATTATGAGGTATTGTGTGTAGATTGATGAGGTTAAAAAACAATTTAATAAATTTTTGAAAAAGAATGTAACGTACAGTGGGGAAAAAAAGTATTTAGTCAGCCACCAATTGTGCAAGTTCTCCCACTTAAAAAGATGAGAGAGGCCTGTAATTTTCATCATAGGTACACGTCAACTATGACAGACAAAATGAGAAAAAAAATCCAGAAAATCACATTGTAGGATTTTTTATGAATTTATTTGCAAATTATGGTGGAAAATAAGTATTTGGTCAATAACAAAAGTTTCTCAATACTTTGTTGTATACCCTTTGTTGGCAATGACACAGGTCAAACGTTTTCTGTAAGTCTTCACAAGGTTTTCACACACTGTTGCTGGTATTTTGGCCCATTCCTCCATGCAGATCTCCTCTAGAGCAGTGATGTTTTGGGGCTGTCGCTGGGCAACACGGACTTTCAACTCCCTCCAAAGATTTTCTATGGGGTTGAGATCTGGAGACTGGCTAGGCCACTCCAGGACCTTGAAATGCTTCTTACGAAGCCACTCCTTCGTTGCCCGGGCGGTGTGTTTGGGATCATTGTCATGCTGAAAGACCCAGCCACGTTTCATCTTCAATGCCCTTGCTGATGGAAGGAGGTTTTCACTCAAAATCTCATGATACATGGCCCCATTCATTCTTTCCTTTACATGGATCAGTCGTCCTGGTCCCTTTGCAGAAAAACAGCCCCAAAGCATGATGTTTCTACCCCCATGCTTCACTGTAGGTATGGTGTTCTTTGGATGCAACTCAGCATTCTTTGTCCTCCAAACACGACGAGTTGAGTTTTTACCAAAAAGTTCTATTTTGGTTTCATCTGACCATATGACATTTTCCCAATCCTCTTCTGGATCATCCAAATGCACTCTAGCAAACTTCAGACGGGCCTGGACATGTACTGGCTTAAGCAGGGGGACACGTCTGGCACTGCAGGATTTGAGTCCCTGGCGGCGTAGTGTGTTACTGATGGTAGGCTTTGTTACTTTGGTCCCAGCTCTCTGCAGGTCATTCACTAGGTCCCCCCGTGTGGTTCTGGGATTTTTGCTCACCGTTCTTGTGATCATTTTGACCCCACGGGGTGAGATCTTGCGTGGAGCCCCAGATCGAGGGAGATTATCAGTGGTCTTGTATGTCTTCCATTTCCTAATAATTGCTCCCACAGTTGACTTCTTCAAACCAAGCTGCTTACCTATTGCAGATTCAGTCTTCCCAGCCTGGTGCAGGTCTACAATTTTGTTTCTGGTGTCCTTTGTCAGCTCTTTGGTCTTGGCCATAGTGGAGTTTGAAGTGTAACTGTTTGAGGTTGTGGACAGGTGTCTTTTATACTGATAACAAGTTCAAACAGGTGCCATTAATACAGGTAACGAGTGTAGGACAGAGGAGCCTCTTAAAGAAGAAGTTACAGGTCTGTGAGAGCCAGAAATCTTGCTTTTTTGTAGGTGACCAAATACTTATTTTCCACCATAATTTGCAAATAAATTCATAAAAAATCCTACAATGTGATTTTCTGGATTTTATTTTCTCAATTTGCTGTCATAGTTGACGTGTACCTATGAAGAAAATTACAGGCCTCTCTCATCTTTTTAAGTGGGAGAACTTGCACAATTGGTGGCTGACTAAATACTTTTTTTCCCCACTGTAACAAAATGTGGAAAAAGTCAAGGGGTCTGAATACATTCCGAATGCACTGTATATGCTAATACACTGGTAACTTATGATCAACTATATGCAAATACACTGGTAACTTATGATTTAAAATTTTTTTATGAAATGTTTAAGTGGGTAGACAAGTGCGTATATAGTGTGTTCCCCCCAGGCATCCTAGACCCAGACACTGTCTGTAAGGTAATCTGCTATGCTGGGAAGATGACTGATAGGGTTGTGCAATCACAGGAAGCCATATGAAATCTAATACCCTCTTCACCAGCTAAATTGTCTCTAGAAAGACATGCCTTATCTGAAAGATAGCAGGGGTCAGCCCAGAAACAAAACATACATTAAGGGCAGACACAGCTTGATATACACTGCTCAAAAAAATAAAGGGAACACTTAAACAACACAATGTAACTCCAAGTCAATCACACTTCTGTGAAATCAAACTGTCCACTTAGGAAGCAACACTGATTGACAATACATTTCACATGCTGTTGTGCAAATGGAATAGACAACAGGTGGACATTATAGGCAATTAGCAAGACACCCCCAATAAAGAAGTGGTTCTGCAGGTGATGACCACAGACCACTTCTCAGTTCCTATGCTTCCTGGCTGATGTTTTGGTCACTTTTGAATGCTGGCGGTGCTTTCAATCTAGTGGTAGCATGAGACGGAGTCTACAACCCACACAAGTGGCTCAGATAGTGCAGCTCATCCAGGATGGCACATCAATGCGAGCTGTGGCAAGAAGGTTTGCTGTGTCTGTCAGCGTAGTGTCCAGAGCATGGAGGCACTACCAGGAGACAGGCCAGTACATCAGGAGACGTGGAGGAGGCCGTAGGAGGGCAACAACCCAGCAGCAGGACCGCTACCTCCGCCTTTGTGCAAGGAGGAGCAGGAGGAGCACTGCCCGAGCCCTGCAAAATGACCTCCAGCAGGCCACAAATGTGCATGTGTCTGCTCAAACGGTCAGAAACAGACTCCATGAGGGTGGTATGAGGGCCCAACATCCACAGGTGGGGGTTGTGCTTACAGCCCAACACCGTGCAGGACGTTTGGCATTTGCCAGAGAACACCAAGATTGGCAAATTCGCCACTGGCGCCCTGTGCTCTTCACAGATGAAAGCAGGTTCACACTGAGCACGTGACAGAGTCTGGAGACGCCGTGGAGAACTTTCTGCTGCCTGCAACATCCTCCAGCATGACCGGTTTGGCGGTGGGTCAGTCATGGTGTGGGGTGGCATTTCTTTGGGGGGCCGCACAGCCCTCCATGTGCTCGCCAGAGGTAGCCTGACTGCCATTAGGTACCGAGATGAGATCCTCAGACCCCTTGTGAGACCATATGCTGGTGCGGTTGGCCCTGGGTTCCTCCTAATGCAAGACAATGCTAGACCTCATGTGGCTGGAGTGTGTCATCAGTTCCTGCAAGAGGAAGGCATTGATGCTATGGACTGGCCCCGCCCGTTCCCCAGACCTGAATCCAATTGAGCACATCTGGGACATCATGTCTCGCTCCATCCACCAACGCCACGTTGCACCACAGACTGTCCAGCAGTTGGCGGATGCATTAGTCCAGGTCTGGGAGGAGATCCCTCAGGAGACCATCCGCCACCTCATCAGGAGCATGCCCAGGCGTTGTAGGGAGGTCATACAGGCACGTGGAGGACACACACACTACTGAGCCTCATTTTGACTTGTTTTAAGGACATTACATCAAAGTTGGATCAGCCTGTAGTGTGGTTTTTCACTTTAATTTTGAGGGTGACTACAAATCCAGACCTCCATGGGTTGATACATTTGATTTCCATTGATAATTTTTGTGTGATTTTGTTGTCAGCACATTCAACTATGTAAAGAAAAAAGTATTTAATAAGATTATTTAATTCATTCAGATCTAGGATGTGTTGTTTAAGTGTTCCCTTTGTTTTTGTTGAGCAGTGTATAAAGAAATGGCCCTGATGAAAAATTATTCAGTGAGAGGTTGATATTTTAATAGAGAACAGTGCACAGTGGAGTGGTAGGGCCTTTGAGGATGACAGTGATGGGGTGTTACAGTATCTGTGACATCTGGGGCTTCAGGACACGTGTCTGCAGGGGGTGAGGGGTGTGTGAGGCATACCCAAGGCGAGCAGTGGGGTGAGCTCGTCGAACTTGGAAAGGTAGGTGACCATGCTGGTCTCGTCTGGTTCTTGACCAGCAGCCATCACTTCTCCAGTGAAGAAGGGCCGCATCCCAAACTCCTGGTCAACCAGGTCAAATGCCAGCTGGAGGTTGCCCTATATTTATTTTATTAAACTTTATTTAAACAGGGAGTCACATTGAGATAAAACTATTTCACAAGAGAGCCCTGTATAAGTTTACAAATAAAACCCAAGAGATAAGGAATGTGAAATGTAATAGGCCTACATGGTTATGGTGTCCAAACTCTCTCCTTCACATACTTCAACATTTCTCTAAAAGCAGTTGTGTTAAAGGTCCTGCACAGTCAAAATCATGTTTTTCATGAAATAGGATATTTGGAGGAAACCAGATCAAAGTAGGACGACCAAAGTATGAAAAATGTATGTTGCTTCTACATTGATCATAAATGTAGTTTGATCATAAAGTTACTGGTTTTCTTCCCTGTGTCAGACACTTGGATTCAGGAGGCGGGATTAGTAAGGAGATTTTGTGACATCACAAAATCCTCTCATTTGAATATACCAATGGTAACGTCTTATTCTCTGACCTCATTTAAATAACTACCATCTTTTAACCAACATCGCAGAAGGCGTGTTCACAGAGGGGCGTGGTTTACATAACAAATCAAATCAAGCTTTATTTAGACAGCACATTTCAGGCATGGAATGCAACACAATGTGCTTCACAGGAAAAAAATGTAAAAAACTATTAAAATAAACACTGAAATATGTACTACACAACAAATGTAAGATAAAAAACTAAAGAATGACAAAAACAACACAGAGTTACATATGGGATAAAGAAAACGTACAGTCAAAAACACAATAGAAAATCTATATACAGTGTGTGAAATGTAGTAAGTTATGGAGGTAAGGCAATAAATAGGCCATAGTGCAAAATAATTACAATTTAGTATTAACACTGGAGTGATATTTGTGCAAAAGATGATGTGCAAATAGAGATACTGGGGTGCAAATTAGCAAAATAAATAACAATATGGGGATGAGGTAGTTGGGTGGGCTAATTACAGATGGGCTGTGTACAGGTGCAGTGATCGGTAAGCTGCTCTGACAACTGATGCTTAAAGTTAGTGAGGGAGATAAGAGTCTACAGCTTCAGAGATTTTTGCAGTTCGTTCCAGTCATTTGCAGCAGAGAACTGGAAGGAATAGCGCCCAAAGGAGGTGTTGGCTTTGGGGATGACCAGTGAGATATACCTGCTGGAGCGCATACTACGGGTGGGTGTTGCTATGGTGACCAATGAGCTAAGATAAGGCAGGGATTTGCCTAGCAGTGTTTTATAGATTACCTGGAGCCAGCGGGTTTGGAGACGAATATGTAGTGAGGGCCAGCCAACGAGAGCGTACAGGTCAAAATGGTGGGTAGTATATGAGGCTTTGGTGACAAAACGGATGGCACTGTGATAGACTTCATCCAATTTGCTGAGTAGTGTTGGAGGCTATTTTGTAAATGACATCGCTGAAGTCAAGGATCGGTAGGATAGTCAGTTTTAGCATGAGTGAAGGAGGCTTTGTTGCGAAATAGGAAGCCGATTCTAGATTTAGATTGGAGATTTCTTAATGTGAGTCTGGAAGGAGAGTTTACAGTCTAACCAGACACCTAGGTATTTGTAGGTGTCCACATATTCTAAGTCAGACCCGCCCAGAGTAGTGATTATAGTCGGGCGGGTGGGTGCAAGCAGCGTTCGGTTGAAGAGCATGCATTTAGTTTTACTGGTGTTTGAGAGCAGTTGGAGGCTACGGAAGGAGTGTTGTATGGCATTGAAGCTCGTTTGGAGGTTTGTTAACACAGTGTCCAATGAAGGGCCAGATGTATACAAAATGGTGTTGTCTGCGTAGAGGTGGATCTGAGAGTCACCAGCAGCAAGAGCGACATCATTGATATACACAGATAATAGAGTTGGCCCAATAATTGAACCCTGTGGCACCCCCATAGAGACTGCCAGAGGACCAGACAACAGGCCCTCCAATTTGACACATTGAACTCTATCTGAGAAGTAGTTGGTGAACCAGGTGAGGCAGTCATTTGGCAGTCATTTGAGAAACCAAGGCTATTTAGTCTGCCAATAAGAATGCGGTGATTGACAGAGTCGAAAGCCTTTGCCAGGTCGATGAAGACGGCTGCACAGTACTGAGGTGCACCCATGACCAGCTCGGAACCCAGATTGCATAGCGGAGAAGGTACGGTGGGATTCGAAATGGTCAGTGATCTGTTTTTTTTTTTTTTTTTTTTTTTTTTTAGGGGGTAGATCAGCTTTAATATTTCTGATAGATTGCATCACTTCCAATCCCCCATATGTTTTTTTTCTCGCAAATATATATATATATATATATATATATATACATACATATATATATATATATATATATATATATACAAACACACATACATATACACACACATATACATACATCCATACACACAAACATATCCTTTTTAAAATTATATTTCCCTTCATTACTTTCCAAACCCACCACCCCTTCCCCAATTGGAGTAAACTAGTGAACAACAACGCTTAGGCCTCTACTTCCAGCCCATACATACTATATAAATTTTATGGACACAGTCAAATTCTACAATAATTATATTTTGTTTGTTTTTACTCCTGAACTTCCTCCGATTGTTTTCACGATGTCCATCTGGTTTGCTTCTATATGCCATATTTTTCTAACTGTGCTCTTTCACAAAAGCTCTCAACCTATAACCTATATACTTATTATGGACACAGTATGCTTTAGATTAGTTATCTTGTTGTTATTAGTTGTTGTTATTAGTCCCATCCTTCAGCTCCATTCAACACCTCCCATCTATCTTGTAACACCATCCATATTGGATTTCTATTTGCCATATATTTTTCAACTGTACTGTGATGTTTTACAAAAGTTCTGAACCTTTCTATTCTCATTGTTTCTACAGATCGTAAATTGAATATAATTTTTTTTGCTAAAAGTATTATTATATTATTGATCGATTGACTATGACTTTTCAGATCACCCAGTAGTGCTATCTGCAGGGTTAGCTCCAGGTAAATATTGCAATCCTTTAGCCATTCCTGGACCTGTGTCCAAAAACAAGCTACAAATGGACAGTACCAAAACAAATTATCTAATGATTCTGTCTCTTCCCAAAAAAATCTGCAGAGCAGGGAAGATTGTATCCCCCATATAAATAACATTATATTGGTAGCAAGAATTTTATATAATAATTTAAATAGAAAAATTCTACGTTTTGAATCCGGCGTCATTTTGCGTATCAATTCATAAACACTATGCCATGGAATCGGTACGTCATAAATCTCTTCCCAACTATTTTGCAATCTATATGGGAAGGCTGTCAATCCTTTGGTCCTTAAATGAAACTGGTATACTTTTTTATTTATTACAATTTTCTTTAACCAATTATATTTTTTAATGCAAGGCCGACAGACAAGTTCCTTCCTTTTTCCACATTCCACTTTCCTTTTCCATTTTTGCAGTAATACTGCAACTATTTGGTTGTAATTTTGGGTAGAGCACAAATTTCCATATGTTTTTGTTAGCTGCATGTGCAATATAACTCCACCAGTCCTACTGATAATATCATTTACGAAGATTATAATTTTTTTAAACATTTGGTTGGTGATCTGTTTGTTAACTTGGCTTTCAAATACTTTCGAAAGGCAGGGCAGGATGGATATAGGTCTGTAACAGTTTGGATCTAGAGTGTCACCCCCTTTGAAGAGGGGGATGACCGCGGCAGCTTTCCAATCTCTGGGGATCTCAGACGATACGAAAGAGAGGTTGAACAGGCTAGTAATAGGGGTTGCGACAATTTCGGCAGCTAATTTTAGAAAGAAAGGGTCCAGATTGTCTAGCCCAGCTAATATGTAGGGGTCCAGATTTTGCAGCTCTTTCAGAACATCAGCTGTTTGAATTTGGGTGAAGGAGAAGCGAGGGGGGCATTGGCAAGTTGCAGCAGAGGGTGCAGAGCTGGTGGCCGGGGTAGGGGTAACCAGGTGGAAAGCATGGCCAGCCATAGCAAAAGGCTTGTTGAAATTCTCGATTATCGTTGATTTATCGGTGGTGACAGTGTTTCCTAGCCTCAGTGCAGTGGGCAGCTGGGAGGAGGTGCTCTTATTCTCCATGGACTTTACAGTGTCCCAAAACCTTTTGGAGTTAGTGCTACAGGATGCAAATTTCTGTTTGACAAAGCTAGCCTTTGCTTTCCTAACTGATTGTGTATATTGGTTCCTGACTTCCCTGAAAAGTTGCATATCGCGGGGGCTGTTCGATGCCAATGCAGTAATGCCACAGGATGTTTTTGTGCTGGTCAAGGGCAGTCAAGTCTGAGGTGAACCAGGGGCTATATCTGTTCTTAGTTCTGAATTTTTTGAAAGGGGCATGCTTATTTAAGATGGTGAGGAAAGCACTTTTAAAGAACAACCTGGCATCCTCTACTGACGGAATGAGGTCAATATCCATCCAGGATACCCGGGCCAGGTCAATTAGAAAAGCTTGCTCGCTAAAGTGTTTTAGGGAGCGTTTGACAGTGATGAGGGGTAGTCGTTTGACCGTGGACCTATTACGGACGCAGGCAATGAGGCAGTGATCACTGAGATCCTGGTTGAAAACAGCGAAGGTGAATGTAGAAGGTAAATTAGTCAGGATGATATCTATGAGGGTGCCCATGTTTACGGATTTAGGGTTGTACCTGGTAGGTTCCTTGATAATTTGTGTGAGATTGAGAGCATCTAGAGCATGGGTTAACCTCTACATCACCAGAGGAACAGAAGAGGGATATAATAAGGATACGGCTAAAGGCTTTAAGAACTGGTCTTCTAGTACATTGGGTACAGAGAATAAAAGGGGCAGATTTCCGGGCGTTGTAGAATAGATTTAGGGCATTATGTACAGACAAGGATATGGAAGGATATGAGTACAGTGGAGGTAAACCTAAGCGTTGGGTAACGCTGAAAGAGATAGCATCACTGGAGGCACTGATTGAGCTCTCCGCGTGTATGCGGG